GGAATGCCCAAACAACCTGGAGTACATGGAATGTGGGAACTCCTGTGCTGACACCTGTGCTGACCCAGAAAGGAGCAAGATTTGTAAAGCCCCGTGTACAGATGGGTGTTTCTGTCCTCCTGGTAGGGCAGCTCACTTCTTCCAGGGCATCATACCTATCAAGGGCAAAGAGGGAGGTTGTTCCCTTTCAGTTAGTGGCAACACTTCTTCTTTAACTGTTTACACTAAAACCAATGAATAAACTGTTCCATCCAGCATAATTTAACAACTTTCTTCTTGGAAGAACCAGATCTCTGAAGATTCAAGATCCTGACACTGGCAGACGGGATGTTTCTCATCCATCAACACCTGAAAGGGCTTGGGGTGGTGTTTCCCTTAAACATTCATTTACAGAAACAGTGAATACTCCAGAGATTTTGTTTTCCTTACTCTCATCTTCCTTGATGGTGCTTCCCAGACTCCCCAAAGGAATATTAACTAACCAATGTGTCTCAACAGGAACTATCCTTGATGACCTCGGTGGCAAAAAATGTGTCCCCAGAGACCTCTGCCCCTGCATGTTTCAAGGCAAAGTCTACTCATCTGGAGGCACCTACTCCACTCCCTGCCAAAACTGGTACTGTTGGGAACTTGATGGCACTGCCAAGGCAGAGAGATTTATTTCAGAGAGTTGATGAGTTGCATTCTGTTATTTTTATCCCTTTTTTTTTCTCCCTCCATATTCCTAAGATTTATCTTCAATAATAATAATGTAAAATCTGGGTCTGAATTTCCCCAGGAAATTTTAGAGGTAGTCCTCAGCCTCACATAGTTACCACCAAAAAACTGAGCTCAAGATTTCAGAATGCAGAAAAATGAGATTTTTTTGCTGTTTAGTTCAGAGGCATTGGCCAGTACAGTGATGCAAGGAGTCACACCATGTTCATGGGTTACGTTTCCAACCACCTCTAGACCTACCAAAGGTGCTTCAAGGCCTGGATCTCAAACATCCTGATCTTTGAGAGTGATTTGATGTAGAAAAAAAACCCTGTATCAACCCTCTTCAGTTGGGACAAGGTGAAAGGTGCTAAGATCTCAGATATATGATTCCCAAAGCAGTTTCATGTCATACTCTGATATCCATCTAGTGCATGGCTGGATGTGGTATTTGAACTCCTGTGACACAGAATTGTTTGAGGTCAAGATAGGGAAGAATGAAATTTGCTGTGGTGCATGGTGGGGTGGGCCAGATGTTCTGCAAACCCCTTTGGATGGACTATTTCCTGCCTTTTGAGGAAATGCTCCTCAAAACCTGCAATTTTAAGGAACTGAACTTGATGGGCTGTGGGTGGTTCCCACCTAGCCACATCCTCATTTACTCCTCACAAAGCCAGAGCTCTTGTGGCCAGGCTGGTCTCCTCTTGTGTGCACAGCTCTAAGAACTGTAGCTGCTCGTTATTTCAGGCCCTCCATAATTAATTGCTGAAATGTTGCATCAGCAGCTTGCTGAACAGTTGCATCACTAGCATAAAACAGCAGAAGCTCCTGTTTGAAGAGGTTCATTCTTTCTTTTAAAAGTTAGGTAAAAAAATTTAGGCACCAAAACCATTTTGTGCTTGGTCAGCTCTTGTCTGTCTGAAGGAGCTGGTTTGGAGCCCAGTGCAGATAATTCTTGTGTTGAAAGGCATTTGACCTTCACACTTTAAGGACTTAACATAAAGTCTTCCTCCCACAGGGATTTAATAAACAACTGAAGTTGATCCAGGGGCTGGAGCATCTCTGCTCTGAGGATGGGCTGAGGGCACTGGGGTTGCTCAGCATGGAGAAGAGAAGACTCTGGGGGGACCTTAGAGGGACCTTCCAGTACCTGAAGGGACCTCCAGGAAGGCTGGAGAGGGACTTGACACAAGGGTGTCCAGTGACAGGAGAAGGGGAAATGGTTTAAACTGGAGGAGAGCAGGTTTAGACTGGATCTGAGGAAGAAGTTCTTCAGTCTGAGGGTGGCCAGACTCTGGATTAGGTTGCCCAGAGAGCTGTGGATGCCCCTCCCTGGAGGTGTTCAAGGCCAGGCTGGATGAACCCCTGAGCAACCTGCTCTAGCTGAGAGGTGTCCCTGCCCACGGCAGGGGGTTGGATGAGATGATCTCCAGGGTCCCTTCCAACCTCAGCCATTCTAGGATTTTGTGAATAACAAGCAGAAAAAAGAAAGAGGGTGTCATCTGAGCAGGTTCAGGTACAGATGTTATCTCACCTTGGGTCCTCTATGTCTATTCTAACTGCTCCTCTTTGCTTTTGTGCAGTACTTGCAAAGGAGGCCACTGGAGCTGCATCTCTCTGCCCTGCTCTGGAAGCTGCCACATAGATGGAGGATTCCACATCACGACATTTGATAACAAGAGATTCAATTTTCATGGCAACTGCCATTATGTCTTAGCTAAGGTAGGAACAAGCTCCCAGCTCACTCCTAAATCTCTGGGGTAGCACGAGGTGCTGGAGCTTTATAGGGCTTAATTTAATTAAATGGCATCCATCCAGCAAAGCACTTCAACCCATGCTCAGCCTGAAATATCATAAATTTCCCCATTTACAGGGCACTGCAAGGAAAATCAAAGTTTTGCAGATTCAACATCATTTTACATTTTTTTTTTTTTTAATGAATTCATTTTCTTTGTGGCTCTATTAGTGTCAATTTAAACATTTCTCCTGAAGCTTTCTTCTGGTGTGACTGTCAATGAGCAGTCTGATCAACAAATGAGCAAAAATCCCTGCAAAAAGATGGAATTCCACGTGACTGACTGTGGAGACACAACCCACACAGGCTGATAGCAAGGAAGCAGAGTGCAGGGGGAAGGCAATGAACATTATTGATTTTGGCAATGAAATAAAGCAGTTTGCAGCCAGAGATTAAACGCCCCAGTTCCTTCATTATTCCATTTTCACCTTTCAGAGACTTTTTTGTCTTCCAGCTCCCTTCCTGTAACATGCTAATGATGTCTGCATGTCCCTTTTGTCACATCTTTTCAGAATACTGATGACACCTTTGTGGTGATTGGAGAGATCGTCCAGTGTGGGACATCAAAGACAATGACTTGCTTGAAGAATGTGTTAGTCACACTAGGAAGAACTGTAAGTAACTTGCTCTAATTAGTGGCATGATTGGTCACTTTTATTTAGGCTCAAAGATGGGATTTCTCTAATACTGTGGACTCCTTTTGGTCTGTTGCCATCCTGAGACTGCAAGATTAATCCTACCAGATGACACGGTGCATGTGTTTATTGGTTTAGTTCTATGAGAATTATTTCTAGTTCTTTTGGGTTCTGACTTCTCCATTTTCTTTAGAGGTAGATGGCTAAAAATTATCCTTATTGGCTTTTCCTATCTTTTTCACCTATCTTTTTCATGACTTCAACCTTTTTCACTTGTTTCTTGTTGAAAAATTGAGATTTCTACCAGAAGAGACTCCCTTATTTTTGCAGCAGTTCTGAGTCCTGAGGTTTGTCAAAATGCAATGAAAGAGATGCTGCTTCTCCTAAAGATTATACCATGATTCAAAATTAATTCAATGGAAGCCAAGTTAGGGCTGGTATTTATGCACTCCTGAGGTTATACAGACCCAGTCTGCCCAGCTGATATTAGAACTGGTGCAGTTCAAACCTCGTTAGGAGTTCCAACACCCTTATAGTCAATAAAGGATGATGGGGATCTCCAAAGGACAATTCAGCCCACCTAAGGTAGGAGAGGTTCTGCTGGAGGGGCTTGTCTACTGAGGCAGTTTGAGTCAGATAGGTCTCATTTTGAGCATGCTACATGGCCAGTGAGATGGATCCAAACCTACACGTTACATCTCACGTGTATGTTGTCCTCAAACAGATACCTAAACTCTTAGGCACATGAGAACACTCAGTCCAAGCTCTTGCTTATAAAGAGGGAGTTTCATTGTTATGGCCTAGAGATGTGCTCTACATCACCATATAGCATCCAGACACTGAGTTACACTGACCCCAGAGGTAAACATGTTTTGAAGTCTCTACTTCATCCTTAATGCCCCTTGTCGAGTTGCTATGGTCTGTCCCATGCCCCATGCATTCCCTACTGTGGGCTTCTTTCTTTTTTTCCCTGCAGAGCATAAAAATATGTTCCTGTGGAAATATCTACATGAATAATTTCATTGTGAAGCTGCCAGTAATCAAAGGTAAATGTCCTTCACATCTCCCCCAGGCTAGCCTATGTCTATTTACAAAGGAATTCCTGATCCTTTCTCTGTAAAGAACATGATCCTTCTCATTGTTGGGTGGTTTGACTTAGGTGGATCTCAGTTCTGGGACTCCCTGGGAATTCCTGTGTTCCACCAGCATATGGAAATTCCTGCCTACACAACTTCAGAACAATTTGCAGGTGCATCTACCTTTTTTTCCCCTTTTTTTTTTTTCCTTCTTAGATGGCATCACCATCTTCAGACCCTCTACCTTCTTTGTCAAAATCCTGAGCTCAGCTGGGGTGCGGATTCGAGTGCAGATGAAGCCTGTAATGCAGCTCTCCATAAGAGTCCATCACTCCTATCAGAATCGCACATCTGGTAGGACACAAGCTCTTATGTTTGCTCCTAAACTGTGTTACAGCTGCTTCTCTAGATCTTTAAGTGAGCCAACTTTGATTCTGTATTGACTTTGGTGTGTTAGAACCCTTGGTTAAATCCACAGCCTTCCTGAAACAAAGCATTGGCTAAACCCTTCAACTCGCTGAAGGAAACTAGATAGTCTTTGATGTTTAGTTTGTGCAGCTCTTTTGGATTCCATCTGTAAAATCAGAGCTTCATCAGAGACTTGGAGATGCAGACTGTGGGCTTGGTTTTGCCCCTCATCTCCTGTTTACATCATCTAAGCTTTTTGTGCCTCTTTCCTGTCTGTGTAATGGGATTACATCCTCTCTCTTCCACCCATTTTCTTTTGCTTTTGTGATTTCCTTTGCTTACAAGCCTTTGGGGAAGGCACTTCTCTGTCTGCCAGTGTTCACTGAAACACATTTAAGCAGCTTCCAATCTCTGTGCTATCATTAGATGCTACTGTAATGCAGAAAAATTATGATCACACTCTAAAGACAGAGTCCTGTCTGAGTTGTGGGAACATCAGGAAGTCTCTGAAGGAAAATGGGTTCCTCTCAGGCAAGGTCCATGACAGAGCTAAGAGTGTTCACCTAGAAGCCATTCCTTTTCCCACTCATGTAATGATTCCTTAGTTCTTTTTGCCATTCTTTTTTTTCAGGGCTTTGTGGCAATTTCAACAACATCCAGACCGACGACTTCAGAACAGCCACTGGAGCCGTGGAAGATTCAGCTTCTGCTTTTGGTAACTCCTGGAAAACTAGAGCCAGCTGTTTTGATGTTGAGGACAGCTTTGAAGATCCGTGTTCAAACAGTGTGGATAAAGGTAGCAGGCTTCTCATCCCTGGATTAACAGTGCTAAATAATTTTCACATAATGGATAACCAAAAAGAAAAGCTTTTGAAATCTCATAAGCATCAGAAGCCTTTGAGGCTGTCACTAGAGAAAACACATTGGGGCTTGCAGGTTTTTAAGGTGATAGTTTTGCTTTTAAGACAAAAAAAACCCTGCATTGCTGGAGAAAGGGCCAACACCTCCTCCACTGATGGCTTGAAAAGCACAAACAGCATCAATGAGAGCAATCTAGGTTTAAGACAGAGTATGGTTGCTTGTCAATATTTGGGTAAGATCTTCATCCAGTCTAGGTTGTGGGAGCTGTGCTAAAGTCCAAAAGAAGTTATCCACAGTACCAACTTCAGCAAATGTTGTGCTGTACTAGGGGAGAGAAAATGGGGAGATTTTTGTGTATGTTCTGCTAAATCCAGATGAAGTAATAATACTAGTACTTGGAAGGTGAAACCTTTCTTTTAGAGAGATGCCCAATTGCCCATCCACCTAGGATATGGTAATGCCCCTTATTTCCTTCCAACATTAGCTGAAGACTTCAGGATGTCTTATTTCTGTGTGACACCTGCTCAGAATATTGTTTCAGATACTAAGGTGGTGTAAGTGACTGTGAACAATATTTTTTCCCATTTCAGAGAAATTTGCCCAGCATTGGTGTGCTCTCCTGTCTAACACAAGCAGCATGTTTGCTGCCTGCCATCCTGTTGTGGACCCTTCTGTCTACATCAAGGTAAGGCAGTGCTCTAAAAGGTGGTTTAATCTAGTCCATGGGCCTAGGGAGTCTGACCTAGGGGGGTGAAATAAGTTGTGGTGATGCCTCTTTGCAAAGAACTTCACTGATGCTGAGGAGACAAATAACAAAATGAGAGTTTATACAATATATGATGAGCTTTTTTGGCTGCAGCCCTGAAAATACCAAGTGACTGCCATGACTGCCAGTTCTGTTGCATGATCCAGAAGCAAAATAGGGGGAAAAGTGGGTTTAGTGTTCTTGAAAACTCTTTGAAAAGCCAAACAAGTGTTTCTATGTGGAATGGAACAGAGAGGTTTTTTTTTTT